AAAACGATGTAGTCCCTAAATGAAAATTGCTGAAATGTCTCATAGGTTGCCTTCTATGACTATACAAACAACCCTCGCCCGTCCCTTCACATCCAACGATGGAGCTTCTTATCAATCAATGGTAAGATAGCAACATCTAAAGGAGGAGGAAAATAACAAATACCTTCTGAGTAGGTAGGGTGCTCATAGTTGCTTGCTTGCTCACAATAAAAATCATTTTCACACCAACACTTTCAATTGAAATATTTTCAAAAGTCAAAGCTCTTTGTACGCATTCTTATAGAGACGAGAATCATTACAAAGACACTTTTCAAAATCACTTTCAAACAAATTTTCCACAACAAACACCTCTTTAAACTATTTTCAAAACTAACACTTTGTATGCATTCTTATAGAGACGAGAATCATTACAAAGATGTTTTCAAAATATTTTCAAACTCACAAAGAACATTTTCAAACAAAGTAAGTGATCTAGCAAGCAACTAAGATCCCATAGATAACTACGGATGAAAAGGGTGCTAACACCTTCCCTTTTCATAACCTACCCCCCGAACTCAAGAAATAATCTCTAAAGGTCTTTCCCGTTCTTTTCAACATTTCCTTATTGGATAAAAGAAAAGTCGGTAGTGACTCTTGTTATCCACAACAATTGCGATCAAACGCAAAACAACCAAGTCAGTTATCCCACCGTATTACACCCTGCTATGTTGTTGTCCACACCTCTACATAACCTGCTCCAAAACTAGTCCACAAATTGGCCAAATACAACAATCCAAATTCCGCTGTCATGCTGATCTTGTTGTCCAAAGAGCTACACTAAATTAGAAACATGAAAAAGGGCTGTGGAAAGGCAATGGAATAGAACACCACAATAGTTCAAATTGTTATTCATTTTCCCCCTAAAATTCATCATTTTTCTCTATAAATTGAAGTGGTATCCAACAGAAAAAGGGACAGAAAAACCAAGACATATACACAGAAAATTCTCAAAGCAAATACACAAATTACACAGACAGAAAATTCATACCAAAACACAAAATTTCAATAGAAAATCGTTAGAAAAACTCTATAGAAATTATGTAACACTTCCTCTAACTTGTATCAGAAAACCACGAGTCATTATTCATAAAACTTACCAAAATTCCAAATTCATCTTCTCCCTGTAACTAAATGCATTATCACTTCTCTGCATATTTCTCTGCCATACCTTCATCATTACTTCAATATTCAACAAAACTCCATCTCTGAAATTGCTCTGGACCGCTTCACTTCTCAAACAATCATCGCAAAAACCGCAAGAACAATAACTCGCATCCACCGCCATAACATGTATCAACACTCAACAACAAATCGATGGCAACTAACAACACGACAAATTGTGAATCTCAGAAGAAGCAAAAGAGCATAGTCAATAAAGGAGATTGAGCGTACCTGAGGTTTGGTTGTTTTTGTTTTATTATTTCATTTGCTGTTAATTTCTTCATAATCATGTAATATGTAAATTGATCTGGACATAATAATGAACATGGGGTATCGATTTGCAAAGGAATTAGAGAGATGGGAGGATTTAATTTTTTTTTTGTTATTCGATGAAGAAGTTGAGTCGATTGATGACAAGAATAGAAAGAGAGGTTAACATGAAACCATAAGAGAGAGATCGTGTGATTTTGATCCTCTTCCAAAATAAAACTATTAATTGATAATTAGGGGAATATTTAGCATTTACTTGAGTTTTATTGGGAATTAAGAGAATTTAATTGGAGACCCATTCCCAAATAGAAACCGGCGCCTCTTTCTCCAAAATTAGGGTTTCCAAACCCTTCTAACTTCTCCCAAACTGGGTCAACCCATAGGTCTTTTAGCCCAATCCGTTTTTCTATGTCACTTTATATTATTTTCAAGTTGTTAAAATAACAGATGAATACGTGTGGTGTATTGGTAAGAGCTTTGAGAGGTTAAACTAATGGTCACGGGTTGAACACCCGCATGGACCATTTTTTCCCTCCTTTTTCCTATTTTTCTTGTTTCTCTTTTAATTTTATATTTTGTTTAATTATTGCAATTTGTTTTAATTTAGTTTAATTATTTTCTTAAAAAACAAAAAAAAATATTACTTGATAAAAACCATAAAAATATTTAGAATTTAAATTTCTTTCTTCATTTGCTTGTTCAAATCTTGATACCATATTCTCTTAGGTAACTCCATGAGGTGATTAAATCCTGTTTCGATCGTCTTATGTTGAGGTAAACTTTTAGTCCTTCAGTTGCATAATAACATTAGGGTAGACTTTCCCCTTTAGTTTTTTATTTTGTAATTAAAATTAAAATTTCTCATTCACAAATCAAAAATTTAAAAACATTTAATCATTATTCAAACTCGTTTCAAAAATCGCAAAACACTCAACCAATCAAAACCTCCCCAAAAGGGCATGTTATCTCTGTTCTACCACGATATTGGCCGTGCCTATTGCTAGAATGCGTGCGCTAACGTCGCCCACTAAAAAAACCAACAAACCAACATTTTCTAGAAGAACTACGGTGTTCTAATTCCTTCACTAGATACGTAGGCAAAGGGTTGCGACACCCTCACAAACGCACTAATAAAAAACCATTTCTTTCTCCTTAGCAAATATAGTTATAGATAAACATACCCTCAGAAACAAACAAATAAAATGGATCCCGTTGAGTACAACAGATGTGAGGGGTGCTAATACCTTCCCCTTGCATAATCGACTTCCTTACCCTCTCTCTTGGTCGCAAGACCATCTTATCCATCCTCTTGTGGTTTTCTCGATATTTCCCCTTCCTTCGGGATAAATAAAGTTTGGTGGCGGCTCTGTGTTTTTTGCCGGTCGCGTCAGCTGGCGACTCTGCTTGAGACTTTTGCGAGTCTATCTTAGTTTTGTTATTTGTCTCTTTGGGTGTTTATTTATTTACTTTATTTGCTTTACCGTTTTATTTATTGCTTTATTTTCCTTTGTATATTTTGCATTATACTGTTGCTACTCACATATTCTGGATATGTTGTATCTTTTGGGATGTTGGGTTGGGTGATTACATTTGATAAGTCATATATCCGAATTTGGGGTTACACTTAGGATTAAGACAGACAGTATAATCATGCTAACTTTGATGGAGTAATCCCAAAAATGAAATTGATATTAAAAAATTTAAAAGTTTAAAGATAGGTAAACCATTTTTAAAATATTAAAAAATAGCATGAACTAAAATTGCATATGCATAAAAATGTTGTAAGGATTAAAACATGTTATTTTTTTTTCTAGGGATTAAAAATAAAATTTAAAATATTTGTAGGACCAAAAACATATTTAATTCTATTTTTTATTATTAATTTTTAAGTACTTTTAATTTTTTATTATCAATTTCATCTTCTTTTTTCTTTACAATAAATTGAATCACTTAAAATATTTTTCTTTATCACTATCATACACAAAACAATTTTTTTTTCAAATAACAAGGTATTGAAAAAAAATACATAAATAACTACGTTTCGGAGAAAATTACGCAAAAAATCATATTTCAGAAAATACTAACAAGGAGGAGTTAAATGAGATGTTATATCCACCTAAATTAGCATGTAGGCGCCATCTCACATGACGTGTGCAGTACCTTCAAATCATGTTAGATGACACATGCACTCTATTTTTAGGAGGAGACGCCATCTCATCTGGCTCATATATATATATATATATATATATATATATATATATATATATATATATATATATATATATATATATATATATATATATATATATATATATATATATATATATATATATATATATATATATATATATATATATATATATATATATATATATATATGCGTTTTCTATAAATAAAATATCCATTTCTCCACCATTATTCACACTTTCTTACAATCTCTTCTCATTTTTTCTCTAATTTTTTGATCATGACATCTTCCATAATTTTCACAAGAGATGAGTATTTTTTTCTCGGCCACCAAATTGTAGATTAAAATGAAATTTTGACACATCCATTCTATGACACATCTCAAGAGAGAGTTGATTCGATAGTTAGGCGGAGACATCGAAGACGGTAAATAAATTAGAATAATTAGATGACCAGTGTTATCGACCACCGCATAGAATCCAACCCCCCACCAAGACGATCAAACTATGAGAATATGGGTAACCGATTGTTTCAAAGCAGATCTTCATGATATGGTGATCTGACGGATTTCATGGATCCTGAATGCATTGACTTCCTAGGACCCTTTATCCAACTACAACAAAAGAAGGATCCTAGAGTCACACAACGAGTTAGGCGATGTCGCGTTAGGTGCAACAACTAAATAATATATAATTTTTATTTCCATTATGTAATCGTTTATTATTAATTAAAAATTGAAGTTTTTTTGTGACAAAATTGTTTATTATTATTTATAAAAAAAAAAAAAATATTTTGGCCCTATGTGTCATATGAGATGACTTAGGACAAAAAAAATACAAATAAGCGCTATCTCATATGACGCTTCTCTTATAAAAATCAATGGGTGCCACATCTAAAAGACTGAACCTTGTAAATAAATTCTGAAATATAATTATTTTCATAATTTTTTCTGAAACGTGGTTAATTGTGTATTTTTTTCAATACCTTGTTATTTAAAAAAATATTCACAAAAACGATAATAATCCATATTTATTAAATTATTTCAATGGATGTTCGATAGAGTGAATTCTAGAGCGAAGATCTGAAACAAAAAGCACATTCATTTGGCAAACCTAAACAGCAGAAAAGTACCGTGCTCGTCAGCTTACTCTTCTCACTGGTTTGTTTCAGACTCCAATTTCTATTATCCATCAATCTCATCCATTTAATTTGAAATCGAACAATTTATTCAGATTTTGCATGAATGATTTTTTATGGGGAAATCCATCGATTTTGTTTAATTGATAGATTTTTCTTGTTTTGTGACTGCAGAGTGAAACAATTGAAGGGGGAAAACGGTGGCGATGGCAGGTAATACGCAAGATTCATCACCTCAGTCTTTCTGGGAAGGCTACAAAGAGTTTTGGGGCGAGAGGTTTTCGTTTATGAGCAATTATTCCAACTTCATCAAGCGTGATAAACCCCTCACTTCCTGGTCTGACTCTGATGTTGAGGAATTCATCGCTTCTGATCCTCTTCATGGACCTGTGGTAACGATTCTTTTACTTTTTGTTCGATTCAATGCATTTATATCATGATTTTCTACATTGCTTATGCTTTCTAGAAGACATACTGTTTCTACCTTGTATTGCCCAGCGATACAGCATCCCATTCATGTTTGCACCATACCTTTTGTTTTTGGGATAAATGTTTACACTCTGCACTTTTAGTTGGAAGCTTTGCATTTAATTTAAATTCTTCTATCCTGGTTCTTTCATTCCCCATGTTGCTGCATTTTTTTGATTAGTTTGGTTACTCTAGACTGCACAAGCAGCACTACATCAAGAGATGTAAACCACTATTTCTTTTTTGCTTATGGCAGATGTGGTGTCTAAAATGTATGTAAATCTCTATTATATAGATCAAATTCCTTTTGGAAGCTCTTCTGCTACCCTGGACTGATGGAACAGACATCACACTCATGTAAAATGACGTGCTATTGTGATGCAAACCAGATTTCTAGGGAATTAAACAGTAAATAATGCCAATGCAGAATAAGAGAAAGCATTGTTATAATTGATGAAAAGTGATAGCAGCAGTGGGAAACAATCTCCCCAACTACCCATAGAGCTCGATCCTCGGAGAATAATCAATCCCCTGGCAAAAGAACTGAAAAATTACTTTTCATGCCCTATTTCACCACTCCACTCTCCTCTATAACAGAATTCCCATCCGACCCACTACTGACCCACATCTCTCTCTGCCACCTCAGCATGCTCCTCTTGCTTCCTATTCTTTCTCACATAGAATCTTCAAACTTTGGGCCCATTATGCATGCCTAAGCCCATTCTGTCACTTACGTTCCTATTAATACTCCCTCCTAAACTTCCAGACTTGTCCTCAAGTCTGAAGTTAGGAAACTGACTGCGAATGGTGAATTCATCTTCCCAAGTCGCTTCTTCCACAGCTTTTCCTTTCCAGTGGATCAAAAATTGGCGGAGTAACTCCCCATATTTATTCACCTCCCGTGCCGCTAAAACCGCAATTGGCTCCGAAGTACTAGATAAATCAATGTCCAAGCTTTGAGGCAGCTCTTTCTCATCATCATAATTCCCCTTTGCCTTTTTAAGCAAAGACACGTGGAAGACAGGGTGTGTCTTTGCTGTGGCTGGTTGCTGCAGCTTGTAAGCCACCTCTCCAATTCTAACTAGCCAGCAACATAAATGGACCATAATAACGTGGAGCGAACTTGGGACTGATGCGCACCTCTACTGACTGCTGAACGCGCGGATGCAATTTCAGGAAAACCCAATCACAAACTTGAAACTACATCATTCCTGTGAGCATCAGCTAAAGGTTTCATTCTAACTTGAGCACGGCGTAAATGAAACTTCAACTGGCGTAAGCACTCATCAAGATCCATTAAATCCTCTTCACTGCCTCGACCTTTGTTTCTCCCGGGAGGAATTGTGTAATAATTGGAGGTGGTAGACCATAAACTGCCTCACAGGGAGTAGTAGCTGTAGAGGAATGGATGTCGTATTATACAAGTATTCTGCTCACGGAATCCAAAGTACCCATATCTTGGTTTGATCAGCAATGAAGCATCGTAGAAAGGTTTCAAACAACGGTTCACCACCGCCGTTTGACCATCCGTTTGCGGATGATATGTCGTACTAATCTTCAACTTAGTTCCTTGCAACTTGAAAAGCTCTTGCCAAAAGTTGCTCGGGTCTCTGTCACTCACAATAGAGGATGGCACACCATGCAGCCGGATAATTTCTTTTGTAAAAATTTCAGCAAGTGCCTTAGCTGAATAACGGTGCTTCAGAGGTATGAGATGTCCGTTCTTAGAGAGTCTATCAACCACTACCGTGATGGCTTCAAAACCCCGAGACTTGGGCAACCCAGTAACAAAATCCATGGACACATCTTCCCAAACACGTGACGGAATGGGTAGAGGCTGCAAAAGTCCCCCAGGTGTTGACTGTTGACAGACATCACATTCCTGCACAGATTTATGTACATCTTTCTTCATTCCAAACCAGAACAGATTTGCAGCCACTCATATATAAGCTCGGTAAAATCCAGAATGACCCTCCTTGGGTAGTAGAATGGAATTCTTGCAGAAAAATAGGTATCCAATCGGACTGGGCAGCAACTACTAACCTTTCTTCGTAAAGCAAAATTCCTTTTCGGCAAGTGAAACCGGTATGTATAGATTTCCCTTGCTGCAAATCATCTATGATTCTCCTCAGCTTATCGTCTTGATGAACCTCCTCACAAATAGCTTGACTTCATAACCACTCCGAAGTGTAAACCAGAGATTGCAACTCTGCTGTGTCATGCAATCTGGACAGTGCATCAGCTCCTTTGTTCTCCAACCCGGGTTTGTAAACTATGTCAAAATGGTACCCTTAGCTTTGCGGTCTAATTTTGCTGATCCATGGTCGTAATCCTTTTTGCAGTAACTGTTTTAAGCTCTTTTGATCGCTGCTAACTGTAAATTTCCGTCCCAATTAATACGGTCTCCAATGTTGTATTGCTATTGCTACCGTGGTTTCCAATGTTGTATTGCCAATGCTACTGCTATCAATTCTTTCTCGTATGCAGATTTGGTTAAATTGCGATTGCTTAAAGCCTTACCGTAAAAAGCAATAGGCCAGCCTTGCTGCAAAAGAATGGCACCCGACCCGTTGCCCGGAGCATCACTTTTGATTACAAACTCTTGAGTAAAATCAGGAAGAGCTAGCACTGGGGCTGTTGTCACCTCCTTCTTAAGAATCTCAAAGGCTTCTTACTCCCTATTTCCCCATTTAAAAGCTTTCTTTTTTGTAAGTTCTGTTAAAGGTTTAGACAACTTTCCATAATCTCTAATGAATTTTCTATAGTATTCTGTAAGACCCAAAAAAACCTCGTACGCCTTTGACATTTTTTGGGCTAGGCCACTGGATCACACACTCCACCTAGTCCGGGTCCATGGCTACACCTTCTTGTGAGATTATATGTCCCAAATATTCTATTGACAGCTTAGCAAAGTAGCATTTTTTCTGGTTTGCTACTAATTGGTGTTCCAGCAATACCTAGAGGACCATCCTCAAGTGGTGCATACGTTCCTTCCAAGATCTACTGTAAACCAATATATCGTCAAAAAAGGAATACAAGTACGAATTTAGGTAGTGTTGGTTTGAAGATCTCATTCACAAGGGCTTGGAAAGTAGAAGGTGCATTCATTATTTCGAATAGCATCACCAAGAACTCATAGTACCCTTCATGAGTTCAAAATGCTGTTTTGTGGGCATCCTCACTACGCACCCGGATGTGCTGATATCCCGATTTGAGGTCGATTTTAGTGAAGAACCGCGTAACTCATCTAACAGCTCTTCTATCACCACTACAAAATTTGAAGATATGATTTTCTTAATCCTTTTGTGTTGCCTCTTTGAAAAATATAGATAGCTTGACCATTGTTGATCTCGTGTCTTTACTTCACATTTAAAATTAACTGTTATCTTAAGTGCTGTTTGGCTAACATCCTTTTCCCATTTCAGCTGAAAACTGCTAGAGAAGCAGTGCAATATGGCCTCACAGGAAGTGCTTTGGGAGCATTATTCACTGCAGGTTTTGCCTGGAAATATTCGAGGAGTTTACATGGTAAGCTGTTACTCTTATTACTATTGAAACCTTTTACTATGCCTAAACGTGACTATCATAGGCAAGCATAAATGTTTTTGACTCTTCATAGTTAATAGTATTTTCTACTCGAAGTTTAATGTTGGTTCGTTTCTCTTCATAGAAATATTTTCTATATTTTCTTACCAAATGTTATGTTTTACTATTGAACAGGCGCTGGTCTGTCCTTCTTAGCTGGAGGTGTATTTGGATGGACATTTGGGCATGAAATCGCAAATCATTCACTACAACTTTACAGGGTGGACACATTGGCTTCTGAGGCTAAGTTTCTGGAATGGTGGAAAAGGAAGACTGAAGGGTATTGAAGCTGCTGGTATCTGGAAGTTAATACTGCATTTGTTATCGTTTCTGAAAAATTAATAATGTTTTCAGTGTTGCCAGTGCAATTTTTTAGCTGAATAAATACTTTGTTTTGACATAAGTCGAAGTCTATAACTAATCATGCATAACTGCAAATCAAATTGTGACTGCCATCTTTTCTCCAGGTTGCATGGTGTTTTGTATCGCTCTGAAAATAATTTTGGAACTAATGTAAAGTTCTGTTATTGACGGACCTTGCACTTGCATTTGGGAAAATTCGTTGATTTTCATTTTTTATGTTCTTTTGTTTTTCTGAAAATAGTACTATAATGTAAACAAAAGTTTGAAAAGTACTTGGCACCAGATTTCTAACGACAATGAAGAGAAAACATATAATGAAAATGTGAAATTTAAAATGACTAGTCTAATCCTAAATAATTGACAAACAAAAGGTTGGACTAGCATCATGCAATTCATTTTACCGTCTAAAATGAATATTATCAACTATTAATTAATAGATCAAAGATATATATGGAAGGTTAATCACGACGACAGCATTTTTAAAGTCTTTTGTAATTTACTCTCGGAAATTTTTCATTTCAGCCCTGCAATTCTCTATCTGAAACTGAACTCCACTATCCAGAATGTTCAAGAACCGGTTCTTCTAAAACGCACCTAATTCTACTTGAATGTTGTGATTATTACTAATTACATATTCGCTCTAATAAACTTGTTATAATAATGATTAAAAATTTCAAATCGGAAGGTTTATTTCCTAAAGAGGATACTAATTGCTGACACAAATTCCGTGGGATTCGTTTGCAAATTGCCTTATAATTATTTTATGACCCTAAAAAAATAAGAATGGTGTTCACTACACAGAAATTTAAAAATGTCTTTGTTTGAATTTATAACATATTTTAAGATTCGGGATTTTTTAGTTTGGGGGATTGTAAAATCTAATTATATTGTGACCATAGATTATCTTCAAGAATATGGTAAATATAAAAGTTTATTACACAAACAAAATAATACATTAACAACAACAATAAAATAAATTAACAATATCAATTAATTATAAACAAGATTATGGATGAGACATATTAGTGTTTTCACTAGACTCAATCATACACCTTGTAATTTATTCAAATATCCTGAAACAAATCAAAATTGAATATATAAATAAACATATATGACTAGAATACTCACTCAGTTCTTTGAAAAGATACTATCAAACATAGAGAGCATGATTTTCACATTATCATCGTTTTAAAAGATACAAGGTGAATTGATAATGTTCGTTTTAAAAGGTACAAGGTGAATTGATAATGTTTCTCTACATCAATTAATTGATGATACTCAATAATGATCACCCTTCAATCATCGTTATAATTAAGATGACCATTTGGTCGATCCTTAGTGTAACATTGACTACCATCTTAAACAAATTTAGTTTTTCCTTGTTATATAATAAACTATCCTTGTTATAGTAAACCCAAGCTTCGTTAATGCTCATTTCAATTGAGTATGAGTTCATTGTTTTGTGAATGAAAAATGAATCAAATACATCAAATTATACAAAATTTTATGGATGTAGTCCAAAGAATTTGTTGCGTTAAAGACCACACATGTGAGTGCGATTTAGATAATTTATTGTTCTTTTGAATTGTATAATCCAAACGTTATAAAGTTCTGCTTAAGCCTGAACTTATATTTTAAACAAATATCACCAATTAACCATATTACATTACGAGAACATAAGTTAATATTTATAACCAAAAGTACCATACAAAAATAGATAATATTAAATCATCCATAATACAAAATATTCGTACAAATATATATTAAAATACTCAGCAAAATACATAATATCCAGTACATCCTACTGAGCAGCACATATAGGCCATGGCAAAAGAATCCGAATCCAGCCGAAATTACACCACTCCTGCCCTAAATATAACAGAGAAAAACCAGACCGGAGTGGGTGCGGGAAAAAATTCCAGTTTTTAATTACAGAGGCGGCAATGTTAATTTTTAACACCAGTAAATGAGTTTTCCAAATAAAAACGAACATATTGAAGAAAACCCATGGTAAAAATAGGTTTATTATTATATTAAAGGAATGACTATATTAGTCTGAAAGAAAAAAAATTAGAGGTGAAATGCAATAGAGTTAAAACCATTACATACATTTCTTAATCTGTAGATGTTAAAAAGAGACCCCACACAAACTCATCAAGTTCTGGAGCACCCAATTTCACCAATATATCAATAAAATCTGGAGGCTTAGTCAAACCCTACCTGATTACCAAGAATTCAAGATAACCCAACCAAGGCAAAACAAGATACAACATATAGTCATGGTAATACTAGCTTATTTGGGGTTCCTAAGAACAATGATGACATAATCACCACGAAGGAACATCTTGCTGATGAATCTATCCTTGTTCACGGGCTGAGCTTTTTTCTTTCCTTTACCAGTCTTAGGTACCTGAAACAAGCACAATATTTAGTTAATATAACAAGTAGAAAAGTAGAAGAGCGAATTCAAATAAACAAGGAATACCTCAGTCCACATTTCCCAGACATTTTCAAGAACCATATTGTAGTGCCTGTCAAAAGCCCTGACATGACCTAGAAGCTTCTTGTTGTTCCGACAATTTATCAGTACCTGCAAAACTTTTCTCGTAAAAACTCAAATCAAATACCTTCTGAACCATACCCAAGAACCTACATAACAATGTGATCTATAAAAAACAAGAAATTAAACATACCTGTGTATTATTTTAACACTCATCATGAGTACAGAAAGTGGTTCACTGTTGAATTCTTCTTCCTCATTCTTCCCCACTGGCTGTAACAATTATCAAGATAAACAATATTAAATAGCCAACGTCAAAAAATGTGTAGTAGAAAGAAGGGGTGAAAAAATGATCGGTCAAGAAAAGAAGGGAAGGAATAGTGTTCAGTCTGTTAAATTGTAATTCATATGTGTCAAAAGAAGATTTGATTTGTTTATATTTAAATAGATTTGAATTTAAATCTAGATTAGATTTGATTTAGTAAAGAGATATTTTGGGCTTGAGTTTAACTTAGGGAGCAAGCTAACCTAAATCTATAAATAGAGGGAGTAACCCCTATTTTGTAATTAAGTTATTCACAGTATTTTGCAGTTGCAAAGTGAATAATAAAGATTCCACAGTTTGTGGACAGAATAGAAATTCTGCAGAAATATCTCCATTGTTCTTTTATTTGTTTATCATAACTAATCATCAGTGGTGGTCGGAATTCATCATAGAGTATTGGTGGATTTCCAACATCTGGTATCAAGAGCTTGTGTTTCGATTCAAGGAAAGTATCAATCAAGAACGATTGAAGAATTCACGATGACAAGTTATGGGAATGCAAACTATCCAGCAACGCTGCCAATTCTGAAAGTTGACAACTATGAGAATTGGTGCAAACAGATGAAAGTCCTATTAAGGTGTCAAGGCCTTTGGGACCTTGTAAAAGATGGAGTCGAAGCGCTTGACGAAAACGCTTCAGAAGAAGAAAAGAAGAAATATACAGAATCTGAGAAGCAGAGTTATAAAGCATTGTTTATAATTCATCAATGTGTCAGCCCAGACAATTTCGAGAAGATTGGTGATTCAGAATCTGCAAAAGAAGCTTGGGAGATCCTTGAGAAGTCTTTTGGAGGCGCTGAGAAGGTGAAAGAAGTGAGGTTACAAACTCACAAAAGGGCCTATGAACTGCTTCAGATGGAAGACAGTGAAAACATATCTGATTTCTTCACTAGAGTTACAAAACTAGTGAATCAAATCAAGACATGTGGAGAAACATTAACAACAAGAGCTGCTGTTTCGAAGATCTTGAGATCCTTAGCTCCTAAGTTCGACCACATAGTGGTGGCGATCGAAGAGGGGAAAGACTTGTCGAAATTGACAAAGGAAGAGCTTCAAGGGACGCTCGAATCTCATGAACAAAGAATGAACGAAAGGGCTGCAGGAAAATCGAAGAGTGATGTGGCCTTACAGGCACATTCAACAAAAGAGACCAAAGGCAAAGGAAAGTATTTCGACAGAAGTAGAGGTGGCTACAACAAATCGAATGGTAGAGGAAACCAAATCGAAGGAGACGTGTCGAATCAAAGAAGACCACACCAAGGCAACCAAAGAGGTGGTGCTGCAAACAGAGGAAGAGGTGGTGGTCGAAAACCTGATAAAAGTCACATTCAATGTTACAATTGTCAGAAGTATGGTCACTATTCGAGTGATTGTCCAGAAAAACGAAAGAATCAAGAAACTGATGCAAGGCTTGCAAAACATGAAGAAGAAGAAGAGATGATGCTAATGGTCACAACAAGAGATGAAGACAGATTCAAGGACCAATGGTACTTAGATTCAGGATGTTCATCACATATGTCTGGAAGGAAAGACTGGTTCGTCAATATAAAACCCTCAACGAAGAATATGGTGAAATTTGCAAATGATAACACACTAGCAGCTGAAGGTATTGGTGATGTTATGATCATGAGGAAAGATGGTAAAAAGTCAGTAATTTCGAATGTATTGTACATACCAGGCATGAAGAGCAATTTGCTCAGTATAGGGCAGTTGGTCGAAAAGAATTATAAAGTGTCAATCGAAGATAAGTTGATGAGAGTCGTTGATGCAAATGGGAGATTAATCTTGAAGGCTCCTATGTCTTAGAATCGAACCTTCAAGATTGAACTAAATGTGATGGAGCACAAGTGCCTTTCAACTGCAGCTAGCAGAGATGAATGGATATGGCATTATAGACTAGGTCATCTCAACTTCAGAGACATCAGAGATTTGAAGAGAAAAAAATATGGTTTCAGGATTGCCTGAAATTGACATCCCAAACGAAGTATGTGAAGAATGTGTGCAGGCAAAGCAACACAAGAACAGCTTCAGCAAGGATGCAGGAAGCAGATCGAAGGCTAATCTCGAAGTCATATACTCTGATGTATGTAGACCAATCCAGGTGGATTCGATGGGAGGTAACAAATACTTTGTTACATTCATAGATGATTTCAGTCGAAAGCTATGGACTTACCTGATCAAGAAGAAAAGTGAAGTGATCGAAGTATTTACCAAGTTCAAGTCCATGGTCGAAAGACAAAGTGGTCGAAAGCTCAAAGTTTTGAGAACTGATGGTGGAGGAGAATATGTGTCGAAAGACTTCGACAGATTATATGAAAAAGAAGGGATTGTGCATGAGGTGGTGCCACCCTATACTCCACAGCAAAATGGAATTGCAGAAAGGAAAAATCGAACCATCATGAACATGGTGAGAAGTATGTTGAAAGGCAAGAATTTACCCAAAGAGTTATGGGGTGAAGCTGTTTCGACTGCAACATACATTTTGAACAAATGTCCTACAAAGAAGCTAGAAGGAATTACTCCAGAAGAATGTTGGTCTGGTGTGAAGCCTAGCTTAAGTCATTTGAAAGTATTTGGATCTATTGCACATAGACATGTGCCAGATCAGTTGAGAAAGAAACTTGATGACAAGTCAAGTAAAATGATCCTAGTTGGATATCATTCGACAGGAGGCTACAAGTTGTTCGATCCAGAGAACAAGAAGATTGTGATCAGCAGGGACGTGATCATAGATGAGTTCAAAGAATGGGATTGGACTGCAAATGTCAAGAAAGATTCAGTGGGAATCTTATTCAAAGAGCCAGAAACTCAAGTCGAAAGAGAAGTTCGACAAGAGGAGCCAGCAGATATACCCAGTACAAGCAGACCTCAAAGAACAAGACGCATGCCTGCAAGATTGCAAGATTGTGTGATTACATCAAATGATGTGATAGATGATGAAGGTGAGCTGGTACATTATGCTTTCTATGCAGATGTCGAACCTGTTAATGCAGCTGAAGCATTAAAGGATTCGAAGTGGGTGAAAGCAATGAACGAAGAAGTAAAGTCTATCGAAGACTTCAAAGTAGACCTTAGCAAGGAATTCGAAATGTCTGATCTGGGTGAGATTTCATATTTCCTTGGTATCGAATTCTACAAGAGCAGTAGAGGTTTGATGATGCATCAAAGAAGATATGCAGGAGAAATTCTCAAAAGGTTTGAGATGGAAGAATGCAACGCAACTTCGACACCTGCAGAACCAAGACTGCAACTGTCGAAAGATGCTGATGAAGATGATGTTGATCCAACCCAATACAGAAGACTTATTGGATCATTGAGATACCTTTGTCATACAAGGCCTGACTTAGCATACAACGTAGGTATGGTAAGTAGATTCATGCAGAAGCCAAAGGTATCACATCTAGCAGCTGTGAAGAGGATACTAAGGTATCTTAAAGGAACTTTCGATTATGGCATTTTGTTTCCTGCAGTTGATAAAGGAAAATAATGCAAGTTAGTGGGATACACTGATTCGAGTTGGTGTAGTGATGTTGAAGATCGAAAGTCAACAGCAGGATATGTGTTTATGCTAGGTGGTGCAACAATTGCTTGGAGTTCGAGAAAAGAACCAGTAGTGGCATTATCATCATGTGAAGCAGAATACATAGCTGCTTCTCTTTGTGCATGTCAAGCAACCTGGATGGTGAACTTGGTCGAAGAGATAACAGGGAAAAATCATGGAGCAATTACCATGAAGATAGACAGCATGTCAGCTATCAATCTGGCAAAGAACCCAATAGCACATGGTCGAAGTAAGCACATCGAAATGAGGTTCCATTATCTTCGAGAGCAGGTAGCAGATGGGAAGATGAATTTAGAACACTGCAGAACTGAGAATCAGATTGCAGACATCATGACGAAGGGAGTGCAGGTCGAAGTATTCAGAAAGCTAAGGGCCATGATGAACATAGACAGTTTAGACACAATGAATTAGGTGGTGTGTTAAATTGTAATTCATATGTGTCAAAAGAAGATTTGATTTGTTTAGATTTAAATAGATTTGAATTTAAATCTAGATTAGATTTGATTTAGTAAAGAGATATTTTGGGCTTGGGTTTAGCTTAGGGAGCAAGCTAACCTAAATCTATAAATAGAGGGAGTAACCCCTATTTTGTAATTAAGTCATTCACAGTATTTTGCAGTTGCAAAGTGAATAATAAAGATTCCACAGTTTGTGGGCAGAATAGAAATTCTGCAGAAATATCTCCATTGTTCTTTTATTTGTTTATCATAACTAATCATCAGTGGTGGTCGAAATTCATCATAGAGTATTGGTGGATTTCCAACACAGTTAAGAACGACGTGCTCTTTCAAAACAACAACAAATCACTAAATATAACACCAAGTTGAGGCTTGGAAATTCAATATATTGAAACTTGTTCTCAAACTGCAATTCAATCTATGTAAAAGATTAAGACTTCATAAAATAAATTTCTTTTTATCTCGTTTAATGATAAAATGTATATTTTGACTTTCTAAGAGTATTAAATCACGCTACTATGTGTTTGGTTTGAGGTAAATGAAGTGGAGGAAATATTTATAATGAAATGTGTTTGATTTAATTTTTAAGAGGGAAACAAAATTATTCTGAATCACATTTTTTGCATTCCAAAATGGGAGTGATTAGGAGTAGAGGGAAGATGAGTATAAATATTTAATAAATTAATATATTTGTTAAAATATTCTCAATTTTATTTTATTATTTCAAAATTATTATTCTCAATTTTATTTTATTATTTCAAAATTATTATTTTCTTTCATGTCCTTGTTTATTTTTTTTAATCAACTTATTATAATTATTCTTCACTTTTAATTTTTTATTTAATATAAATTATAATCACTAATTTTTATTTTATTTTTATGGTTATTTGTGTTATTGAAAAGTTTTTATCAACATATAATTTATTTTATATCGAGAGTTATAATATGAATTAAGTATACTCAATTTTTTAACATTATATGATAAATTATAAAAATTTTAATCACTCAATATTACAAATATCATTATCATATCACTTATATAAAATCATAAGGATAAAATTTAAATGGGAGCAACGTACCTCACAGTCACAGAGACCTAAAATTTGAAAGACACAAACCCTAATTCTATTGTTGTAAGATATTTTATCTGAGATCCTTGAATTGTGGAACCTTTGTTGTAGGAGAGAACATCGTTCATCCACAAAAGTAAAAAAAACCACATTTGATATAACAAGAAGCTGCAACATTTGTGATTTTCTGCAAAACTGGTTTTGGTTTCAATGGACAACATTCTAGGCCTTATCAGACTTCGTATCAAAAAAGGCACTAATCTCGTACCTTGTGATTCTCGTACCAGTGACCCTTATGTTCTTATCACCATGGCTCAACAGGTTTACATAAAATCTAGTTCTTTCTTTTACTTTTTATGATTTTGTTTTATTTTATTTTGGTTTCTAATTTGATTTGGTGCAGACACTGAAAACTGCTGTTGTGAAAGATAACTGTCATCCCGAATGGAACGAAGAATTGACACTTTTTATTCAAGATAAAGATCTTAAGACAAAAACACCGATACAACTTGTGAGTACTTAAACTCTCTAGTTTTGTTTAATCAATAATAATAATGTTGTAATTTTGCTGTGATGATTTTTTTTGTTAGACCGTTTGCGACAAAGACACGTTCAGTGTGGACGACAAAATGGGCGAAACGGACATAGACATAAAGCCGTATCTTCAGTGTGTGAAGATGGGACTGACTGATGTCCCGGAAGGACATGTTGTCAAGATCGTTCAACCAGATAGGACTAACTGTTTAGCCGAAGAGAGTAGATGTATATGGAGAAACGGAAAACTCGTCCAAGAAATGAGTTTACGGTTGAGAAATGTTAAGTCTGGTGAAGTATTCGTCGAAATTGAATGGATCGATGTTACAGATTCCAAAGGCTTATCTGAGGTTGAGTTATAGGCGTGTTCTTATAATGCTATGTATATTGTCATTTAAATTTTTGTCTCAAGAAGTTTTATATGTATGTTATGTTTAATCAATCCAATGAGTTTATATATAATGACAAAATTGCTCTAAGTTTTTTTTTGGTCACGTTTTAGATACAGAATTAATATGCAAGAGAATATACCAGGTACTCATTTTTACGATAAAAATATCACATGAAACTAATGACAAAATAATTGAGATATAGACAAAGAAACAAGAAAAATGTTGGAGATATTTTTATTTTTGTTCCTGAGATATTGGATTTGTAAGGTTATGGTTTAATGCTTCTACACTCACCTTATCTCTTAAAACTTGGTTTTATTTGAATAAGAGCGGCAAACAAAGTAAACAATGGCTGCTTCTACTTCTCCTTCACCAAACTTGTTGATATCTTTGCACAGAAATGCTAAGAAAACAAACTATCATTCTTTATCTTTGCACAACAAACTTGGTTTCTCATCTTTTATGCAATTCAATAAATTTGTAAAAAGTTTGAAATCTTATGGAGCTGCTAAGTATGATGGAGTGGTGGAGGATGAAGAATTGGACAAGATTCGGAGACTTCAGAATGGTTCAGATGTTAGAGGAGTCGCGTTGGAAGGTGAGAAAGGGAGAACGGTTGACCTTACTCCGCCTGCTGTGGAGGCAATATCAGAGAGTTTCGGCGAGTGGGTTATCAAAGGCTTAGAGAAGGAAAAAGGCTATCTGGTAGAGAATGTGAGCGTGTCTCTTGGACGCGACCCGCGAATTACAGGGTCTAAATTGAGCGTTGCAGTGTTTGCAGGTCTTACTCGTGGTGGTTGTATGGTCTTCGATATGGGACTAGCTACCACGCCAGCTTGTTTCATGAGCACTTTGTTGCCTCCATTCGAATACGACGCTTCTATAATGGTTGGTTACGTAATACTTTTAACTATTTTACATAAGCACTTATTTAATAAGCGTTTAATTAAGTTGTTTATCTAACAGATGACAGCTTCTCATTTGCCTTACACGCGTAATGGTCTCAAGTTTTTTACAAAGGGAGGGGGGTTAACTTCATTGGAAGTAGAAGAAATCTGTGACAACGCTGCTCGTAAATATGCAAACAGAATGGCCAAAGTGTCTTCTCTGCTTAAAGTTCTTCCAATAAAAGTCGATTTCATGAGTGCTTATTCAAAGCATCTAAGAGAAATCATCAAGGAGAGAATAAGTCATCCATTGCATTATGAAACTCCACTCGAGGGATTCCAGGTTTGAGTAATACATTCTTCGCTTTGGTGTCTTCTAACATTAGGCTATTCTTCCAACATTCTTCGCTTTGATGTTTAAAAAACTGAATCTGAATCAGATAATAGTGAACGCTGGAAACGGCTCCGGAGGATTCTTCACATGGGATGTTTTGGACAAGCTTGGTGCAGATACATTTGGATCTCTGCATCTTAAACCGGATGGCATGTTTCCGAATCATATTCCAAACCCTGAGGACAAAATTGCCATGGCAATGACACGAGCAGCAGTGTTAGAAAACTCGGCCGATCTTGGAATAGTCTTTGATACCGATGTTGACAGAAGCGGTGTAGTTGATAACCAAGGGAATGCGATAAATGGAGACAGGCTCATTGCTCTCATGTCTAGCATTGTACTGAAAGAAAATCCAGGATCAACCATAGTGACCGATGCTCGCACGAGTATGTCGCTCACTAAGTTTATAACCGATAGAGGTGGTCACCATTGCTTGTATCGCGTTGGTTACCGAAACGTCATCGACAAAGGAGTTCATCTTAATAAAGATGGAATTGAAACACATCTTATGATGGAAACATCTGGTCACGGTGCTTTGAAAGAAAACCATTTCCTTGACGACGGTTAGTTAGTTAGTTAGAATTCGTGTTCATGCATGTTTTTGTATGTTAATGCTTTATAGATCATTCCATTGATAATGTTTCCGTGTTTATATAATCAAGGGGCCTACATGGTGGTGAAAATTATAATTGAAATGGTGAGAATGAAGCTTGGTGGATCCGATGAAGGAATTGGTAGTCTTATTAAAGATCTTGAAGAGCCTTGTGAATCCATAGAATTAAGGATAAATATCATTTCTGAACCTCGAGACGCTAAAGCAAAAGGTCTCGAGGCAATCGAAACATTTCGAAACTACATCGAGGAAGGCATGCTTAAAGGATGGGAGTTAGATTCATGTGGTGATTGTTGGGTTAGTGAAGGGTGCCTTGTTGATACAAATGATACTCCAGCTCACATTGATGCTCAAATGTACAGGTGAAAATCAATCTACTAAAAGTTCAAAAATGTTTGATTTTATATTTCTATGCTTGTTAATTAAAACCTATGAAGCACAGACACACAGACACTACACTAACATAGATACGCCGGCAGTGATAAAAATTTGAAAATTGAATAAATTGAACGTAATTACAAGTGTTACTATTCAGACAATGAGATTAAAACTGACTTTTTATGGCAAATCAAGGGCAAGAGTATTAAATGATGAACATGGACAACATGGTTGGATACACATGAGACAAAGTATTCACAATCCAAACATTGCTGTGAACATGCAATCATCTGTCCAAGGAGGGTGTTTGTCTATGGCAAGAGCTCTAAGAGATGAGTATGTCACATTGCTTCCACTCTGATTTACTATTCTAAAAGTATTTATAAGAACCATGATGTAGTTAATTAGCTGATTTATTATTTTATTCAATATCATTGCAGTTTTCTGAAAGCAAGTGGAGTTGATACATTTCTAGACATAGCTCAAATTGATGAGTTTGTTGAAAATGGCTCATTAGCCTGATTTACGATATGCAAGGTTACAACATTAGAATCAGAATGAGTGATTCTCATTATCAGCTTATGTAGGAAGAAATAAGAGAAAAATGATCGTGTTATTATTATTTCTTTCTCTACACGGACGTGTGTATATACAACAAACATTGTGGTAAAAATAGATTAATGAAACAATGACCTTATTGCTTAGTAAATTTTAATATGATTGGACCTTATATGAAATATTGGACCTTACATGAAATAGATTAACGAAACAATGGCCTTAGTGCTTAGTAAATTTTAATATGATTGGATCTTGCATCAAATATTGCACTTGGATAAAGGCCGTTTCTTCTACCTCCACCTCCTAATTATATGATAGATGATACGGGTGGTAAAACGGACCATTTGTCTCGCTCTGCTTTAAACTTGTCAAAAAAAGAACGGGGCGGACAAACTCGTCAAATGCAAATGGGCATAAAAAATCTAGTTTGTTCTGCCAAGATGGCGGGTAGGCAAGCGGCAGGCTTGCCTGCCTATTTTTTTTATTAGATTAATAGTTTTTTTTTTTATATTTCAATTAGATTTTTTACTTATTTTTTAAAACAATTTTTTATAAAGCATCTTTTAACAAATTTTATTTAAAAAAATATTGCATATATTCACAAATAAATATATTAAATAAAATGATCAAGAATTGGAATTACTAGAGTTAACTAAAAAATGACAGACTTAAGCCGGGACAAACTGAACGAATAGGCAGGACAAGATTTGACGGGCAGCTGACCTAAAATTCCAACCAAATCCACCACTTTCTGGCGGGTGCGCGGGCTGGCCCTACGGGTCACAACCTGTTTTCCCACCCCTAATATTGATGTTTGGTGGATTGGTTACTATCAAAGTGTCCTTGTCGTCGTTATCACTCCATATGAGACCTATGTTAGATACTTGGAGTGATATTATCGTGTTTCACATCTCCAGTTGGTAATGTCTCGTCATGATGCGTCGAGAGAGGTGCCAGTTTCCGACTTCAATGGCATCTTCCCTTTCTTCTTCACTCCTCCTTTGGTTTTTAATTTCTCATGTGTTGGATACATTAAAGTCATTGTGGGGTAAGCAAGTTCATAAACCCTACTTTTTAATGCTCTTTTTCCAACAACATCTAGTGACCTAAACCTTTTCAATAATTCATCTACTGGACTACTCATATCCACCTCTAATTCATCATCAACATCTAGCTCTGTTGTGAAAACGATGTCGAGAACAGAGTATAACAGATTTCTTCTCTGCAAGAAGCCCACAAGAGTAAGAAAGAGGAAAACAAGAAGAACATAATGAATTGGTTATAAACTGTTATTATTTATTTTCTCTTTGAAACAACATTACAAGTGTTACATAATAACAAATAACCTCTCTTAACCTAATTAGGATTTGTAGTGTTTCAATGATGAGAGATTAGTATGCTATTTATAAGAAAACTAACACACTAAACTAATGTGTTCTTATACACAAACCCATTACAACCTAACTTAGGAAACAAGCTAACTTAAATAATTGGACATAACATACATGTCCAATTCGACATGCTAATAAACCTAGTAAATATCGACTAATGCATGTTAAAACATCTTTGACTATAATACGCATTATTTCGACAAATACATACGAACAAGCTTCGACCTCGTGCTTAATTCCTGTCGAACCAGAACCTAACCCTTCAACCATACTAGAGTTCGATCCAATATCTCATAAATCTCCACCTTGGAACAAACTCTATAACATCAAGGGAATAAACTAGCTTTCTACATGCAACTTTATCAACTGCATACAGTGGAAAAACTTGCAACTTGGCAAAGTCTTGGTGATCATATCAGTAACATTGTGACCTGTCGAAACCTTCAGCACTTGAACTTCTCCTTACTCAATTACCCCTATGACGAATTGCATCATCAAATCGATGTGCTTGGTTCGCTCATGATAGGCTGAATTCTTTGACATGTGTATTTCACTTTGACTATCACATTTAACAATGATAATTCGACCTTGAAGTTTTAGCTCCTTAGAAAAAGCTTCAAGCCATAATGCTTCTTTCATAGCTTCAATGAGGGAAATATATTCTGATTCAATGGTTGATAAGGCGACAACCTTTTGAAGTGTCGATTTCCAACTGATTGTTATGCCAAACATAGTAAATACATATCCAG